CTAGAACCAAAAGTCTTTCAACCTACCTATAACCATTAAATTAAATTTTGATCAGTGGATGCAGTTTACATTTACATCTACTGTTTTTAATCTATGACGTTTGCTAACCGCATTAAATTGTTAGAATAATCATTAATTTCACAATGAAGGAACGCATTTATCACTCTGAAATCAGTTAACTTGTGTCGTCACTTTAGTTGGGAGATGATCGCCTTGCTTAGAAGACGAATTCACATTTACTTACGCCGCAACTTACGAGTAGCAACGCCAGCTATACTGTTTTCATTGGGCGCACTTATCCAGACAAATGCATAGATATTTATTTTCTCACGATATAGCCAAGTTTACTGGTGCAACGTTATTTTGTCAAAAGGTGAAATGCCAAGAAGAAAACCTAACGTTAAAACGTGCCATAAAACTTTACAATCGGAACTTTGACGCATTAAATATTTTATCAAAGTCATATTGTTTACTATGCTTATGGGTTAATATCAGCTGAAGCCCTGGGTGATAAGAACTATAAAAATACTTAATTTATCATTTGTACGAATGTGAGTACTTACATCATATCCTGTTTTACTATTTTAAAATAAATAGATTTTACTATAAGCTTTAATTAGACTACAGATACTATAAGTCTGCCAAGGGTGGCGATCACTTTAAAGCAAGAAGAAGAAGAGCATATTAATAATCTATATTGTTATTTTATAGCAAAACTGTTACAGTACAGTTACCCTTACGAGTAACTATTTGGTACTATACTTGTAGCGTGGTAGTCAGAGCTACCTGACTCTGAACGTAAAATTCCCAACCATTGCTAAATATCGATGATTTCTATTTAAACGCAAATTATTAGTTTTAGAGCTGTGCCTTGATTTATAACTATGGCATGATTGTAGTAAACTTATACATAACCTTGAGATAAAAGTGTGCAACCGGTGAGTGTTGATAGTGATAACTCATAAAACTCCGTGATGGGGATATCCGCAGAATAACTATAGTAAATAGCATAGCCCAACATATTTATTACTTAAAGTGGCAATGAACATTTTATATACATATGTGTTTATAAGCAATAATAAGTAAGTATTTACAAATAAATACATACAAAACCGAATTTCAACTTTCCGCTCGATCTTTAGACTGTATAAATACTCTGTCACAACAAACATGTTGAATGACGGCCGTGATAACGGGAGCTCTAAATATTTTCCTTAATTTTTAAACCCATTCCCTACGTGATTACATAGAGCTACTAAATACTGTTTTTGAGGTTTTTTTTTTTTTTGTATTTCAAAATATCTACCTTCTTTGGAATATACATCGAAATCAAACAACTTAAACTTATATATGGAACAATTTCAAATTAACTTCAATTATTTATTTTAGTGATATTTTTACAATTTTTTTATTACATGGAATGTTTTTTATTATTCATTGTAAATACGACATTGACAACTCCGTGGCGCAGTGGCTTAGCTATGAGTGGCTGCGCTGGGGTCGCGGGTTCGAATCCCGCACGGAACAAGTATTTGTATGGCCTACAAATAATTGTTCCGGGTCTGGATGTTTGTCCTTGTGCAATTTATGTTTGTAAACTGCCCCCACGATACAGGAGAAAATCTTAGTGTAGGGGTAACGTCTTTAAAAAAATATATTTAAAAAATAAAATTACAGCCTATATAAGTCCCACAACTAGGCTCTAATTTCTAAGAGAGTTTTAGGGCAAGGAAGTGTCAGCCGCAATGCGTGTTGGCGAAGTTCAAATGTTCTCAAATTACTTTTTTTCTCATTTCCTAGACATGCAAGTTTCCCGTCGAGCACGTGGAAAATAAGCACTTAAAATTACAATTAGCAATTTCATTGGTGCCGGCGGGGATCGAACCCGGGTTGCTTGCGTACTGTGAAATTTATAGCGTGCGCTAATTATTTGAGCTATTACGGCTCTTATTAATATTGTTATCCCTGGAAATAAGCTATATACCCTTAATTTTATTTTATAAAAATAATTACGCACAATTGAACATCAACGACCGCAAAAAAAATTATTCTTATTGACGCCAATGCTTCGATTTCAATGCCACTATAAGATTAACTTTTGAAAGCTGACAATAAATCATGTAACATATTTTATTTAAAGAGTTTAATCATGTTGTATTTGTCTATAATACAGATAACATAAAATTATATATACGACGATTTAGATAATATATTTTATAAATTAGATATTGTTAAAATATCTTAAGGCATTGAAAAAATGGATAACTTTTAATCGGACGGTAAAAATATACTATGCTTTAAGATTCTATTAACTTTTAAAGAAAGCTCAATCTAATCAATGCCCTTTCAACCAGTTATACGAGTCTCAGTTAAATTAAAAATCCGACACACCCTAATAGTTTTAGATTCATTCGGGAGCCAATTAATCACGTGTCATAGAAACCATACATCAATTTGAGTGTTTGTTTCTCCCAATATGTGTAGCGTGAAAACACTTTTTATGAACTGTTAATCTTTTGTATCTTTATAGATCCTTATAACTAACATCAATATAATAAAGTACAAGGCTAAATTTAGACAGTAAAAAATATTTGATTGGTATTTCGTCAACAGTTTGCAAATTAATGATATTGTAAACATTTTTTTTTTGATTGATTTGTTGATATTTTTGTAATTCGAAGAGGTTATGTGTTTATACATAGTAGAGCCATGTTGCAGCTATATAAGTAGTATAGTTGTAGCACGAATGATATAAAATAGCAGCTTAACGCTGCAGTGTTTCATATGGTGAGTGTACAGAACCGGAGACGCTTTTTACTGGGAACGAGGCATTCCATCTTAGTCCTTACGGGTGAACGAATCCATAATCGAGGATAGATGTAGGTGTCTATGGGCCACAGTAAACACTTACCATCAGGTGGACTGTGTGCTCGTTTGTCACCCTAAACCTATAAAAAAGAGACAGTCATAGACAAGTAAATCCATCATTTTCGTTGTCATAAAAGGTAGTAGGTAGTGACCATCTTATGTTTAGTAGTGGTCGAAATATTTTTCGCAATCCTGCCGTAATATATTAAGCTTTTAGATTTGTATATTAAGCACATACATACATAACAGATACAGTAGGTCATACAGTCGAACAAAGTAGACAAAATCTACTCTGTGCCACTATTTGACCACATATTCTTAAATGTTTGACACTGGCATTACATTAGTATCGTACACTATATAATATTGTAGATACTTATTCTTGGACTTAGGTAGTCAGAACGTAAACAATGTATGTTTTATTAAAATTAATGTATTTGTAACACTTAATATACACAAATTTTATATTTCTGCATTCCTTCTCCATATAAACCGTGTCAAATCTCACACTCCTCCGTTTCCCTTCACGTTTTAATGGATAGATATTACGGCTAAAAGCCAAAAAGCGTATACACCTAGCTTTATCCGGCTTCAACTAGGCTCAACTGGTTGCGGTTGCTTAAATTTATAATTTATACTAGCACTACTCTTACTAACAACTACTAAACGTCTCTACACTTAAGTTTCGATGACGCAATCGGCTGCACCTAGTTGTAGCCGGCTAAGTCCAGGTCTAACCGCACTTCGGCTACTCTTACGTAAAAGTATTAGAGACCTTTCTATACTTGTGAAGTTGTTAGAATTATATTTATGTATCTAACAGAATACCAGCGTAAAATAGCAGCTTAATGCTGCTGTGTTTCGTGTGGTGAGTGTAGAGAACCGGAGACCCTTTTTACTGGAATCGAGGCATTCCATCTTAGTCATCAGGGGTGACAGCGCATCATGATTGTTAATCGAGGTTAAATGTAGATGTCTATGTACAACAGCATCCACTTACCATCAGGTAGAGTGTGTACACGTTTGTCACCCTTATTGTATAAAAAAATGTAGATAGCAGTAGGTATGCTTAAATGATTCTCTTACAATAAATAAAATCGTTCTGACAGGAAAAACTAATCCTCGCTTAATCTCCTTAAACATATCAAGTTTCCTCCTTAAAACCTTGAATAGGTTTCTTCAGAACATAGACTATAATTTGTTTCGTACAATACGCAGAAATGAGATTCAGTTTAATAAAATCCTTGTTGATTCTACTCCACTGGTTACCATTGCGTACCTATGCTTAGGCTTCAATAAAATGTCTCAATTCTGAGAAACACATTCGCAAGGCTAACGGCAGCGTACCCTGATCGATGTAAATAATTATATTAATTACGTGGTAATTTAAAAGTGAGTTTAATTGAATAATCAATCACTTAATTCGTAATCACCATATTCCGCCTCCTGTTATGGAACTCTGCAATTATTTACAACTTAAGTAATACTGCCGTATCAAAGACTCCACTCGTTTTTTCCTAACTCGGAGTAACTTTACGTTATCGGTGACGTAGGCGGGTGATTAAAGGACGTAAGTAACAACTAGTTATGATAAACACTGATAATCTCATTCTGTAGCAACGGCTCAAGTGCACGCGCGTTTGTTGCTACAATCTATGTCACTATTTTTCCCTCTATTTTTATAAATTATTTTCAACTGCCAACACGTGTAGCTTTTCGCTTCTTTTAATCAAGTTTTAATCTGTGCCGTGTTGCTCTTATTTACAAATATTGCGGTATCATTTCAGATTTAGAAATTTTAATAGTGATGCGCTGTCATAATTGTTATACATTCGATTTTTGAACCGTTAAGAGAGTTCCGATGATCAGCCGTCAAAATAAAATTGGACTTTTAAAATGTTATGTTAATCGCGTTTTGTATACCAGTAGCAGTGTAACATCGTGTGCAACTAGACTGGTGTTCTGTGCAGGAAAATCGATTCGTTAAAAGTCGATAATTTCTTAGAAATATGTTGCTAATGAGTGGTATACGTTTTTGTACGAAAGTGCTATGAATCAGTGGCTCTAAAGATGAGCGGGCGTGTATCAGGCATTCGTTTTCTTGTGTATGGTGTTCGTTAAAAGTGAGAGCAATGAGTGTTCCTAATTTGAGCGCCGACCAGATAACAGGTACTTAAAAGTTTTTTTTTACTTTTAACGTACATTTATCGACTGCCTATGTTAGCTCTTCACCCATTTATCAATAATACCAAATCGCATACAACAAGCAACTCTATGATTGAACAACAAAGTTATTTTTTGATGTCTATTATAATTGTGTGTTTCTTTTGTTTAAGTCCTTACAAATCACGGTACAATAAATCTTATGCCTATGTCTGTAAGTCTAATGTTAACTAATTGCTTACCGTCCCGATATCCCCAGCCATTTTGTAAGTTAACAGATAATTAAATAAATTTAACGAATAGATGCATCATAATTATGTTAATTCCATTTTCAATAGTAATAAAATTCTACTATAGTAGGTTACATACGACAAAAATAAATTTTCTTAAAACACGTTTTGTTTATTATTAAAATTACATAAGCTTTTATAAAAGCTTCTCATAAAAACTCCTATTGGTAATTTCAGTGCAATGTAAAATGTTATTTTTCAAGTAAGAGTATTTATAAAAAAAAATGTAAACTTGTGCATCAATAACATATCTAGCAATTATAACCGTAGAGTTGACCAATATCTTATATAGGTAAGAATATCCGGTTAATAACATGTTATTGGGTAAAATTTACACTGCTATATTATGACTACATCACCATTAGGTATATAAGCTACAGCAATCTCACATCATCAGACGGACTGTATCGCCGCTCGTTCGTCACCCTTTATACTTGTGTAACAAGATCTCACACCTCAACTTGTCTAAATTGTTTGAGGAGGTTTTCTAATGGGCTACAGACGTTACTTACCATCAAGCAGACTTCGAACTCATCAGGCACTCTTTCACTATTATATGGTTCCGCTGACACGGTGACGATTAAAAACTTTTAAAGAAGGTCAGTTTTAATACAATTTATTTTCATTTGATAAAATAATTATTGGAATTATAAGTTACAACGTCTTATCTACGTTTTCTTTTAAAATGTATCTTCAATGCGGTTAATTACTCACAAAACAAATGATTCTTGTCAAAATAACAACAAAAATAAATTATTGTTACTGCTTAACAAATTAAGCTTAGTATTATCTTTAGTGCTAAATTACATCGTAAATACGCGATTATGTAATAAAAATGTGTGAGTGGTTAAGGGGAATATTAGTAATGTTTATAGCATTGTTAATATTCTTTTTTTTTTAAAGAAAAAAGAAAGAAAAGAAAAGAAAAAGTGACCCATTTTAACCAATCCGACCACGCCAACAACATCCAAGTATATCAGATGTTATAAGGTACCTACTTTTCACACAATAGTGCCATTAGAAAATTTACGCGTTATCACAGGCTCCCACTTGTTCTTAGGGGCCATTCTTTAATTAAGGATGGTTCTGGCGATTTCAAACCCCCCCCCCACCCTCCCTACCTCCATGTAGGGTACATAAGATTTCTCGAACTCTTCTTACGTAATACGTAAGATTCTATCTCGCTTTTCAAACAAAATATTACGCAAGAATGGGTTTTACCCCTACCCCCAAGATAATATAAGAATGTTATCGCATAGATCGGAAGTAAGTTCGAATGCTGTTATAAACATGGGGAGAATCTAACATACGGCTCGGTAGTGCAAAGGCTAAGCGTACTGGGGTGGCGCCGTGTTAGGGGGTTCGAATCTCGCTCGGAACAGAAAATTGTATAAACAAAAAGTACCGGGTTAACGTTTTGAAAAAGTATTTTTAAAAGAAAGTTGGCTCCAGCTAGATTCATTGGCAAATATATATTTACTTGACCAAAAAATTAATATTCTAAAACTAAAGATAGGCGACCTAACCATGATATCGGGATGTCAAACGCCTCAGTCATGGGTGCTGTTAAGCATCCGAAAGATCGGGAATTAAAAAGATTAAATTAAATGCGATAAAATCTGTGCAATTAGTTTCATTTAAATATTAGTATTATTCTTCTTTTTTATAGAATAAGAGTGACAAACGAGCACACAGTCCACCTGACGGTAAGTGGTTGCTGTGGCCCATAGACATCTACATTTATCCTCGCTTAGGAATCAAAACGCAGATGTGTTGTCACCCCTGACGACTAAGATGAAATGCTTTATTTCCAGTAAAACGGGTCTCCGGTTCTCTACGTACACCATACGAAACACAGTTATATTAAGCTGCTATTTTACGCTGGTATTCTGTGAGAGCGTCGTTCTTCCCGGTGGAGCCGACCCATTTGTGCTACAACCGTAATATAAATTGTTATTGTCTTAGACTATTCTTAGTTCGATCCACTGTGCAAGCACCACTGCAATCGTATCGTGAGTGACGAGAACCGAATACCATTTTTGCTGGTAACGGAACCTTCCATTTTAATCTTCTGAAGTGAAAATAATTTATGGTTAAAGAAGGAATGTACTATGTTGCTCTCGAAATGCCTAATAGGAAAAATGTTATCTTAAATAACCTTACGAGCTATGGCGGAAACTTTAACGGTGGCGGATTGCGACTTCCTTAGATTATTGATAGGTCTTCGCGCGGTCTGAGCGCGAGACCTATCAATAATCTAAGACGGCTCCTGTAGTTTTTTTAATAATAATTTGATGTAAATTTTGATCGTACGTAAAAGAGCGATTTGGTGTGAATGTCTGCGCATATGGACTATTAGAGGAAACGTTGAAACAAGTGCTGCAATGAGGATCTCATCGACTGTCTGTAGGCTCGAGTTACCGTCAAAATCTAACAAAACCTTTACAACATAAGTACATCGATTATTGTGTAGAAGGTTTCAAACAAATCATTATATAGAAAAATATCTTGACACTGGCAAACGAAAAAATATAAATAAAACTATAAATACGTTATTGTTGACAGGAAAAAGAAAACATACAAAAATTGTTTAATTATGTTATTTCTATCATAAAGCATCGATAATTTTTCGAATTTGAATATTCTTTTATTTTAAACGGATATTTTATAATAAAAAAGAAAGTTTTAATTGGAAAGATTTAAACAAAGAAACTTGGCGCGTTTTGTGTCAAATGTCGTAATTGCTGGCCGTAATTGGAAAGAAAAATTCAAGAAGAAAAAAGAAAGTTCGTTTTTAAAAAGTTTTAAAAGGAATTACTCTGAATAGTTTATCTATACATATTGCGGAATTTTTGAGAAATTTGACCGCCTGCGGGTATTATCGTATAATTATAGATTGTATTATAATAAAAAAAATGTTAATTTAATTTAAGGAAAAGAAAGAAGAAGTCTTATGGCCCACACAGATACGGTCAGTTCAACTAATCAATTCAAACGGATTTAAGCCAAAACGATTTCCCAACTCACTGGCTCTTAAGATTTCACATTCAAGGTCAGTATTTGGATGTACGTCATTTCAACTGATCAGTTTAACTGACCGTGCGCCCGGAAAATTCGTGGGTTGTCGTCAGTTAAAAATAGTTACGGTCAGTTTTTAGATGTACGTCGGTTCAACTGATCAGTTTAACTGACAGTGGGTGTCGAGCACTACGGAAAATCTCACGAACTTCAGCCCTTAGGGACATATTCGATCGTGAATTGGTTGGACGCAGATAGGATTACCACATGAAAGACCGTTCTCCGCCCGTATTCTAATACAGACTGGATTACCACTGTATGTTATATGCAATGCATATATATGCTATGCGGCTATACGAGATACGTGAATCTCTGTCGCAATTATAACAAAATGTAGTGAAGAAAGCAAATTTTTGTAAGCGGTCGTTAATGACAAATGGCTTATACCTATTCAAAAAAAATTCATACTTCAACTTCTTAAGGGAGAATTTTTTCATAATTCTATTAAAGTAAATGTTGAATATAAGGGTATTCGGGTGATCACTCGTGGCAAGTCGGTCACGACAGCACCGCGGAACATTATAATAAATAAATTATATCCTGAGTTTAGGAACTCTATTAATGAAAAAATATAAAAAACAAACTAAAGATGTTAGATGCTAGTGAGCTCTTTGGATAGTAAAGATCGCATAGTTATATGAATGGGTATAGGTACTTTGTTTTGTTTTTGTTTTTTTAAGCATATCGAAGCACGGCAACTATATCTTTTTTATTATCGATAAAAATTGTAGAATTTTATCGGTAATAAAAAAAAATTTGTTAAATTAAATCTTTCAAATGTAGCTGGTAACACACCGCAAAAATCATTTACAATTGCAGCAATGGCAATTTTTGCATTATTGAGCTGAAAACCGGACTTCTTGCCAAAAATCAGGATTTTCAACCAACTGAAAACGGATTCCCAATAATAAGCTTTGGCAACCCTAGTCGCAAAGCGAATCGACGACGAAGGTCATTCCAAAACTTCGATGAAGTTTTCATAGAATTTCCCGACAAAACCGCATCGGTCTAGCGTGAGTGTTGGCGTTTGCGAAGGTCCAAACAACCAACCTAATTAGTCCTTCAATGGATGTCAAGGACATGAAGTGTTTATCGTTTTCTGTGGATCGACGGATGTTCACGTCGCAATGCATACGTTATGTTTTAAGTCAAGAAATTTTCATGAGCAGCCCAAAGTCAGGTAATTGGTAGTGTTTCACCCTCATGCCTCGAGAAGCACTTAAAGTTACAGCTTATATACGTCCCACTGCTGGGCACAGGCTTCCCCTCATTTTTTAGAGGGTTTTAGGGCAAGGAAGTGTCCGACGCGCTGCCCCAATGCGTGTTAGCGAGCTTCACATGTTTTCAAAATATTGTTTTTCTTATTCCTCAGACATGCAGGTTTCCTCACGATATTTTCCTTCACCTCCAAGAACGTGGTAAATCAGCACTTAAAATTGCAATTAACAATTTCATTGCTGCCGGCGGGGATCGAACCCGGGTTACTCGCGTTGTGTTATATTTACAGCGAGCGTTAACCATCTGAGCTACCACGGCTCTCGAGAGGCACGTAAAGCCATAAAAATAAATTGATTCAATTTAAAGTAAAGTTAAGCCGCATACTAAGCTGTGTTAGTGGACTACATATTTCTTTCTAAT